GCTGGAAAGTGGGCAATGATCCACTCCATGGTTTAGTCTAAAGTAAACCTTGCAAGAACTCATCAGGTGCTGAGCCTTATTGTTAAAATAGATTCAGCACCTTGGATAGCTCCTTTAATGTACCTTCTAAAGTCTGGCATGGACGCACCAACCCACTGACACCACAGCCATCAGAATTCATTTTTACAAGCTTTTTGTTTGAATTTAAGTCTGTTCCAACAGAGAGTTGCCCTGGGACAAAACGCAACTGGGGAAGTTCAAATAAAATTAACTGTGATTATATCTTACTCTGTTCTTGCTCAAGAGTTCATGTATTAACATTATTTTTAATTACCTGCTACAACATAATGGGGTATGAAGTCTCTATACCTTTACCAAGCCGTTAAGAATGGGTCCAACCCAAGAATGATCTAAAGACTCACGTTTTTCCAGCTGGTCTCCCATGACTCTGAGAAAGGCCACTGATATCATGAAGAGATTCAAGATGAAGCAGACTTCACAGAGCTTCCCCACTGAGGAGCCACAGATCTCTCTCACCACGCCCTGGTAGGTTGTCTGGGTGCTGATGGAGGTGGCATAGCCCAGGACGACCAAGCCGCTGATCAGGAATATTAAAGAACCCTGGAAAAGAAAAGAGAAAAAGTCCAGGTGAGGGAGAGCTGTCTGCCTAGAGAGTCTGGGAAATAACGAGAAGAGATCCGAGGTGACCCAACCATGCATGCTAAGTACACAAACTCAAAGTGGAGGAACCACCCTCGGAGAAAGTGGAAGTGGTCAGCCAACGAAGTGGTCCCTGGAGCAGAGAAACATGACTTTCTGTAACTCATAGCCCAGTGGTTTAGGAATCTGACTCCAGAGCCAAAGGCTGAGGGTTCGATTCCCCACTGTGCCTCAACAGAGGATGGACTCGGTGGCCCATAGAATCCCTTCCATCTCTGCCATTCTAGGGTTATTATTATTTATTATTACAAACTTTGCAGTCCAAGCAAGCAACCAACCAATAAAGTTTTTCCTACTTCTCTGCGTAAGACTGTGTCTTACCAAACAGAATAGCTTCTGCTAGATATTTGGCGGGGAAAATATCAGCTGATGGGCAATCCAAGGACAGGTGCATCTGCTGAATCTGATCAGGTATTTCCTTCAGCTGAGCATTCCTTTCCCTTGTTGCTGTTGTTATCAAGTTGCAAACTTATGGTGACCCTATACACCATGAGTAATCTGCAAAATGTCCCTTGCTTTTCCTCACCCTGAGAGTCTCATCTTCCTTTATCAAGTTGCAAACTTATGGTGACCCTACACATGAGTGATCTGCAAAATGTCCCTTGCTTTCCTTCACCCTGAGTCTCTCATCTTCCAGCACTATCTCTTGAGCCATTTCTTGCCCTGCCCCAGTCATCTAGTCACCTCTGACTCATAGCAATCCAATGAATGAGCACTCTCCAACACATCCTGTCCTCAACAGCCCTGCTCAGCTCTTGTAAACTCAAGCCTGTGGCTTCCTTTAGAGGAGTCACTCCATTTCGCATTTAGCCTTCCTCTTTTCCTGCGGCCTTCATACTTTCCCAGCCCTACAGTCTTCCCTAGAGAACCTGCCTTCTCATGATGTGTCCCAAATAGGCCAACTTCAGCGTCAATGTTTGTAAACCACTTCTGAATATTCTCTGCCTGGAAAATCCTTTAAAGAGTTGGCCTAATTCAGAAATGGGCCGACGGCACGCAATTCTTATTATTCCTTTATCTTAAGAAAAGATTTTTCAAAAAAATACTCTGTGCGAGATTGCCAGAAAATAACACACCACAAGTGATCCAAAATGCAAACTCTTTCTTCATCTGATCACACCCTTATTCTTTATTGGCATACCAATCACGGCTCCAGGGTAAGTCAGAAGGAAGAATCAAGTGGCCCAGGATTTTTTCTCCTTTTAATTTGCAAATTTCCTCCCCTGTCCTGTTTGAGGCTTAACAAATCATCTTGCACATGTCCTTAGGAAATGTCTCTTTCTGGTTGAGTAATGAGCTCTACAGAATGATTGATTTTGCCAGAAAGAAACATCTTAAAACTTTCAAATTGCTTTCAAGGACAGGCTTGATTTCGTTTTTGTTTGAGAGTCCGTGCATATTTGCATACGCACGAGAATCTGTAAACATTTCCCTTAATACATGCATTTCTGTAAATGATATTCTTTGGTGGGTACTCTCTTGAGACTTCCCCCCATCACTTTTGAGAGGGAGGAAAAAAATCTGATATGCATTTAATATGGAGAGCTGAGTTCAAAATTTAAATGTAGAGTTTAAAATGTAGATAGTTCACATCGCAACTTGGTGCATGGTTGCTAAGAAGCAAGTGATCTCGTAAACAAAACCTCTTACAACTGGAGCCTTGCAGAGCAAACAGTTCTTTAAACAGGAATAAATTAAGGGCATCGTATTTCCTGCAGAATAATGGCAAGAGCCAGATTTGACAGAAGCATAAAAAAATGTGAGTTGTAACTCAAGAGGAAATTGTTATAAAATTTGGTTCTGGTAGTATTTAATGCCACACGGATTACACATTTAATCTTTAATACACACACATATAAAAAAAGAAAGAAATAAAAATAATCTGTGCATTATTTGTGCAAACAGTTTCGTCTGTGGCACAGAGATCAAACGGTGAGCCCCACTGGCAAATTAATGCTTTTTGTCTAATTTTGCCCTGTTCTCCATAATTTCTGAATGGGTGGCAGTCATAGAATCACAGAATAGTGAAATTGGAAGGGGCCTCTAAGGGCATCAAGTCCTGCCCCCTGTTCAAGGCAGGAAGGTAGATCAAAGGATATCTGCCAGGGGGTTGCCTAAATTTCTCTTGAATGCCTCCAACGTTGGAGCACTTCACCACCTCCACAGGCCATGCATTCCATTGTTCTACTGCTCTAACAGTTTGGAAGTTTTCCTGATATTCAATCCAAATCTGGCTTCCTGTAACTTGAACCCATTGTTGAGCGCCCTGCACTCTGGGATGACTGAGAACAGATCCTGCTCCAAACTCAGTCACGGGCCCGAGTTGGTAAACATCCCAAGACAAGGACCTTTCACATCCGCGGTCCTACACAAACAAGGAGTCGGAATGTTATACAGTATTTTGAAAAGGACATCATTGCATCACCCTTGTGGTGCAGGGGTAAAACTGCAGTATTGCAGCTAAGACTCTTCAAGACCTGTTTGAATGTAGCAAGCTCAGGTAGCCGGCTCAAGTTTATCTAAGCCTTGAAACCCGGTTTTCCAGAGCCCTAGACCATTGCGCTATCTAATGGTTTACAATTCAGTTATGCAGACTGCACATCACTCCGCCGGAGAGCTGGGGACTCAATTTACTGACCTCCGTAAGGATAGAAGGCTTAGATAAACTTGAGCCGGCTACCTGAGCTTGCTACATTCAAACAGGTCTTGAAGAGTCTTAGCTGCAATACTGCAGTTTTACCCCTGCACCACAAGGGTGATGCAATGATGTCCTTTTCAAAATACTGTATAACATTCCGACTCCCTGTTTGTGTAGGACCGCGGATGTGAAAGGTCCTTGTCTTGGGATGTTTACCAACTCGGGCCCGTGACTGAGTTTGGAGCAGGATCTGTTCTCAGTCATCCCAGAGTGCAGGGCGCTCAACAATGGGTTCAAGTTACAGGAAGCCAGATTTGGATTGAATATCAGGAAAACTTCCAAACTGTTAGAGCAGTAGAACAATGGAATGCATGGCCTGTGGAGGTGGTGAAGTGCTCCAACGTTGGAGGCATTCAAGAGAAATTTAGGCAACCCCCTGGCAGATATCCTTTGATCTACCTTCCTGCCTTGAACAGGGGGCAGGACTTGATGCCCTTAGAGGCCCCTTCCAATTTCACTATTCTGTGATTCTATGACTGCCACCCATTCAGAAATTATGGAGAACAGGGCAAAATTAGACAAAAAGCATTAATTTGCCAGTGGGGCTCACCGTTTGATCTCTGTGCCACAGACGAAACTGTTTGCACAAATAATGCACAGATTATTTTTATTTCTTTCTTTTTTTATATGTGTGTGTATTAAAGATTAAATGTGTAATCCGTGTGGCATTAAATACTACCAGAACCAAATTTTATAACAATTTCCTCTTGAGTTACAACTCACATTTTTTTATGCTTCTGTCAAATCTGGCTCTTGCCATTATTCTGCAGGAAATACGATGCCCTTAATTTATTCCTGTTTAAAGAACTGTTTGCTCTGCAAGGCTCCAGTTGTAAGAGTTTTTGTTTATGATATCACTTGCTTCTTAGCAACCATGCACCAAGTTGCGATGTGAACTATGTACATTTTAAATGCTACATTTAAATTTTGAACTCAGCTCTCCATATTAAATGCATATCAGATTTTTTTCCTCCCTCTGAAAAGTGATGGGGGGAAGTCTCAAGAGAGTACCCACCAAAGAATATCATTTACAGAAATGCATGTATTAAGGGAAATGTTTACAGATTCTCGTGCGTATGCAAATATGCACGGACTCTCAAACAAAAACGAAATCAAGCCTGTCTTTCTCCTTAAAAAAAAGACCATGTTTTATATGTTAACTGCTCCTTTCCCCCCCCCCTATGTATTTATTACATAGTGTGTAAAACGCCCAAAGATAAAAATTAAGAACAGCCCAGAGTGGCTGACATCATTTGAAAAAAAGTAATATTAAAAGCTAAAGACAAGTAAATTATTCAGATATTTTCAAAAGGATTAAATAAACATCATCTCCAAAATGTGTATCGTGGGTTGCAGCAAGTCACAAAAGGACTATAAATGCCCCCAAATTAAAATTTTAAAGCGAACTCATTAGTGCCACGCAGCCATTCGTACTTTGATTTTTGGGTTTCAAAGAGACACCGATGGGAGACCCTTAAACCTCTTTGAAGCCAAAAAAAAAATGTTATCCGTGAGAATCAGGGGAAAGTTGGTCCTGGATGATTTTTGATCCGTGAGATCTCACACAGAATCAAGCCACAATATTTTCCCCCTCTTTCCTGCTCCCGCTCAGCCAATTTCCCAATACTAAATATTACTACAGACCATTGAATATTTTTCCAAGACCATGAATGCTGGCAAACACTGCGTGATATTGAAGTCACATCCTAGGGGATCAAACATTTGGCAAGCATTTATCAAATTAGTGAACATCAAAAACTTGCAGAAGGAGGAACTTGTTCTCCAGCTTAGCGAGTGCTAAAAGGGAGTCACTAATATTTAGAGTAGCTGTTGTCCCGTGCCGTCAAATCACCTCTGACTCATGGCGACCCCATGAAGGGGCCATCTCCAACATGTCCTGTCCTCAACTCTTGCAAACTCAAGCCTGTGGCTTCCTTTTAGGAAATCCGTCCAACTCATATTTGGTCTTCTTCCTCTTTTCCTGCTGCTTTCCACTTTTCCTAGCCTTATTGTCTTTTCCAGAGAATTCTGCCTTCTCTTGATTTGCCCAAAGGAGGACAACCTCCGTTTCAACATTTTTTTTTCCCTCCAGAGATCATTCAGGCTTGATTTCATTCTAGGACCCACTCGTTTGTCTTCCTGAAGATCTAGGGTATTAACAAAGCTCTCCACCACCTTTGCCGGAAGACAAATGAGTCCTAGATAGCACACAGATGCATTTTCTTCCTGTAAATTTTCTTCACTGTCCTGCTTTCAAACCTATATATAGTTATCCAGAATACAAGAGTATAGATTGAGTTCGGTCTTGCTCTCCACGGACACATATTTCGACTTGACCATCTTTTCTAATTCCTTCATTGCTACCTATCTGAGTCTACATCTTCTGATTGCAGTCTCCATTTGGACTGATGATTGAGTAAAGATATACAAAATCTGTAACAATTTAAATTTCTCATGGTCAACATTCAAGTCCCTGTAGTTTCCCTGTAGTCATGGTTTTTATCTTCTCCATGTTCAACTACAATCCTTTCTTGGAATCGCTAGTTCCACAATCAGAAGAATGCATGACTCCGTCAGCTTCTGTTTCTCTCTATTTTTGTTTTGTTTTTACAGTATCAAACTCAGCTCCTTTGGCACTTTTTCTAGCATATATATATATATATATTTTATCCTGAAGTTTGACCAGAGGTGGGGAGGGAGTAATTAAGTTTGCAAGAAAATGTATAGGTTTTTTTTGTATAGAAATATTTTGGCGAGCACTATTCATTTTGCTCAAGAAGTATCTGGTTTTTTAAAGCTTTATTACACTTTGAAAGATTGCAACAGAGCTGTGCCTCTTGAACCGACAGATAAACAAACAAACCAAAACCCACTGCATTAACGTTGTTGCGCTAGAAGCTTGAATATATTTTTGAACATTGTTTTCATTAATGCATAAAATGTGTGTGTGTGTTTCCCCTAACAGGGATGTTTTTATCATCTTTTTAAAAACAGAGAACACCCTTGCAAAACTCAGGGCAGGGCAAATTATTACGGAATCACAAATGGATTGTTGAGTGGTTTGAAAGTGCAAAATTAAAATGCAGCGTAAGCAAATTTCTCTTCCGTCCCTTCGTATGGCCCTGATGCTGTTTTAAGATCATTTGCCGATGTCCTGTTCCACGTGCTTCCTGATTTGGAAGGAAAGAAAGCCAATCTCCTTTCTAGACCGGGGTATTTTTTTGGCTATAGTCCCTTCTCTCTAGAGAGGCTGTCCAAAAGTTACTGTTTATATATGTCACTTTTTGCCCCTCAGTTAAACTATATTATATAGTGATATTGTGGTTTTATTTTGCACGACGAGGCCAAGTGTTCTCACCAGGTGGTGCATTTTGGTAAACCTTGGCGCCTCTTTGTGATGAGGAACAGGCCATCAACACTTTGATCAGATAAAATATACCTAGTACCTGAATCACCAATTTGGTTTTACCTTTGGTCCATGGCCACTCTAAAGTGGTTTGTTTATTGAATGCAAATCCTTGCCCTATTAGTTCAGGAGTACTATTCTGGGGCAGCTAAAATATTTATTAAACAAATAATAAATAGTAAAATTTAAATTAACAAGGAAGTAAGCCCATTGGATGCACCAGATCTACACTTATGTTCACAAGACCAGGATTTAAGTGAACGGAAATGTATCACCCTTTATTACTATTGTTATTCTCTGCAATTTGCTACACCAGGTGGCTTTTTTCTCCTCTCTCTTGTCAAAAGTTTGTAAAAGTTAATTTTTTTTAAATTGTCTACACAATTCCAAGAACAGCAGTCTAGACCTACCATCTAAGTTCCCTCTGATGTTCTCATGGGGAGAGAGGGAGGAAGAGAGAGAGAGAATGTATTGCAAAAAATAATAATTTTACAAACTTTTGATGCATCATGTCATTGGAAACAATGATACAGTATCTCTTTTTTTATTTAAATTCCATGCAGTGTACACACACCTTGTTATAGAAGGTGCTGCTCTACACACAAGGAGTGTAATCCACAGGAGGATTAAGATGGAAGAATCCTGCTCATTTAAAAATAAGGAGGTGACACAGAACCAAAAAATATCATGAAGAGAAACAAGCTAAATGAACGTGGAGGCCAGCTTCTCGTTCCAGCTACTGACTTGCTAAGACATGCCAAAACAGGCATGGCACAGATTCTGCCCAGAAGTCAACCCTGCGTAGATTTTCACTTAAAAGTGAAGATGCAAAATAAATGGACATCCATAACACAACTGAAGAAATAGTCATCTGCAGCTCATTTATGGCAAACAAACAAATAATAATAATTATAGATCGTGCCCTCAGTTTGAGGAAGAGTTGAAGGGAAGCAGAGTGGGGTTAGAATGGGGGAATGAGCCGAAGGTGAACATTAGGGGGTGGGAGAAATCTACTTTTTTATCCAGAGATTCTAAGACTTCCAATCCAAGAAATTCTCATTTTCAAGCTTGGGGAAAACAGATCTAAATAAATGCTTCTTCCTCTCCGGTGATTTAAGAGCTGGACTGCAGCCCAGGGTAGGCTTGTACGGAGATCACCGAGGAGCGATCGTCCAGCCTAGGGGGTTGGAATGCGTAGCTAGAACTAGGGGGCCCTTAGGTCAAGACTCTTTTCAGCCACCAAGGTCAACCGGCGGCTTTGATTCTTTTATTCCTCAGCCTGACCTACCTTATAAGGTTGTTGTTAAGGTTAAAGGCAAGGATGAAACCATGCATACTGCCCCTCTGCTCCTTGTAATTTTTTTTTAAAAGTATACACATAAGTTAAATAAAGCTCAGTGTTGAATACATTGTGCATAGGCAAGCAAGACATACTAGAAAAGACAAAAAAACTGGGGAAAGTAAGCAGCAGCAGGAAGAGAGGAAGAAGAAGTATGAGATGTACTGACTCAACAAAGAAGCCACATGCTTGAGTTTGCAGGACCTGTTGAAGGCAGAACTTTTTGGAAGTCATTCGTTCAAAGGGTCCCCCATCCTCAGTCAAAAGCATCCTTGACAGTGTACAACAATAACAAAGGCAAAACTCAGAACAAGAAGAGGAGACAGCTTCCCAGAGCATATGCCGAGTGCACTTCTGGAGAAACAAAACCTTCACTCATACGGATTGCAGGATAAGAGGCTTCTCAGGCACTACCAGGCCCATGGCCTCTCTCTCTCTTTTCTGCTTAAAATGACAGGTAAACTTTCCTTAAGTTATTTGGAAGGCAGGGAAGCATTTGAAGAAACCAGAGGATCTCATCATCAAGTTGGTCTCAGCCAAGCAATTCTGCATCCTTCCATTTCACTGAGGGGTTTTATTAGTCTTAATTAATAAATATAAATATTCCAGTAACCTGGTTTCTCTCTCTGCTTATAGTCCCTTTTATTTCATTTGTAAATTTAGTTTTGTTTGGTTTCCATCATGCTTCCCTCCACTCTTCCCCTCCTCCAGTTTAGGACGGGACCCTCTCGCGCCGCGCCACCCTGGAGACCCCAGCGTGGACCCTTACCAGCTCCACGAGGACAGCCGGAAGAGTTCCTCCAGCCTTGCTGAACGCCCAGGGGAAATTGAGGAGTCCGGCTCCGAGGGCTGATTTCAGCAGGATGAAGACCGCCCCGGAGGAAGACAGGCTGGCGCTATCCAAAGTGGGCTTGGCCAGCAAGCTGATGCTCTCTGCAGCCAACCCCTCCATTTCTGAAAAGAGAAGAGAGGTGGATGGGTTTTGGCTTTGTCTCTAATGCGCCGAAAGCTGAGCAGGACACCCGTTGACCCTCAGACAGTTCATGGAGCCCTTTATTCCTTTCCTGATCTTGATGGCTACCGCTCCCGTCTTGTTGCTCTGAAGCCAAGTAAAGGGATCCTCTTGAAAAAGGCAATTTAAAAAATCACCCCTAGTCACAAGGTCTACCTTGGGGTTTGGTGGGGGGATGTTGAAAGGGGCCCCCAGACAAGAGTGGAAACACACACACACACACACACACACACAGAGGGGGGGACACAGAAGGCATCTTTTTTCCTCCCGGATGGTTGCTTAATTTAATTAGCAGGTTCAATTGAAAAGGTTAAAATTAGGCACCAGGAGAGTTGGGACAGGATTGGAGATTCTGCAGGAAGAAGTTTGCACACATTGCCAGCCGGATCAGTTGCAAAGGCAGAGAGAAGGCCAGAATGGGCTCAACCTCCCAGCTGTGCACAGTACACACCTTTTAAATGACCCAGGGCATTCCCCCACCCCAGTTTCAGCCCAGTTCTGTACCTGGTACCGGCAGAGACCCACACTCAAAGTGGAATATTTCAGCAGATTATGTCAATCTTATTCCATCGACAGAGTGTATATATGCATCAAACTCTGACATTGGAAATGTTTCTGGTTCTGGACTATAGCTCCCATAATCCACCAGCCAAGATCAGATACAAGTTATGCTCGCTTGAGTGCCTTGCTGTAATTTAAAAAAAAAATTGGAACAGAAATCCAAGTATTTCTGAGACCCTCTGCTGCATTTTGGAGAAATAAGATAAGCAAAAGAATTGCATTCAAAAGACGAAGAGCTTAAAAAATGTTTACAACTGAAAGACATGCACAGATACACTTTAGACAACACAGAGCCAAAAAAGTATAGTACTGTTGTTTTCATAAGATGGACACTACTAAGCTAGTTGCTTTCCATTTTGATTCCCATTTTAAAAAGAAAGCAGAGCCATAAGGACTACCGCATAATCCATAGGGAGGCGAACATCCAGGCTGGAAAACTATTTTTTGTGGCCCCTGAGCAGCACTGAACATCCCCAAACCATTTAGTTCAAGAAGGTCCCTTGCACCTTCTAGGAGGCATGGGAGAACTTTGACATGTTTTGAAGGACCATCCGCCTGTTCCCCTGCCACTTGAGAGGGAGACTGCTCACTCCAACTGCACCCAAGCCATCCATGTCCCAAAGGAGCTCAATCTCCCCCACCCACCCACAAGATCCTTTAAGAAGACCCTTGAAGTAAGAGGAAAGAGACCCAGAAGCACAGCTTGGCTTCAAAACTAGCTCTCTCCCAGTGCTCTCCCTGCCTATAGTAAGATTTCCATCAACAACACGACCCCGTGAAGTGGTGATCAATGAGGAACAAAGATTCTCAATCTACACGATGCCCAAACTGAGACAGGATGAAGCATAACACAGGAAGATCCCATCAAGAGGATGACCAAGGCAGATGATTGGTTTTATCATTCTGAGGTAGACCAGAAAGTAGGCATCGGGTTTTCAGAATTCATGGACTAGAACTGACAGAAGTCTGTAGGAATTTCCCCAGCCAAACGTCTGGAGCCCATCCTTTCAGAGGTCTGTAGTGGCTTTCAGCTGAGAAGTAATGGCTTCTCTCAGACACAGCGAAGACAGGGGAAAAAAAGTGGCTAGACAGGGCTAAACCTTCTGGGAAGGCATTATGGATTGGGCAGTTTCCCAGAAGCCCCTTGTATGGATTATAACAGGCAGGGAGACTAGCAAGACCTATAATGCCTTACAGGTCCCATGGAACTTAGTCTTGCAAAGCCACTCCGTCCATTTTCATTAGGTCCCAGAAGGAGCCCTTATTTCAGGCTGGCTAAATCCGAGTGGGAGAGTTCCTTCAGATGTCTGAGGGTTGTCGTCCATGAACTCTGAAAATCTTGTGCCTACCAGAAAGGGATGACCACTCACCAATCTGCTCTGGGAACACCACTCCCAACCAGTGACATGGGCACCTTCCAAGGGGCTGGTCATGAGCCAGTATTAGCCACGGTAGCCACTAAGGAACCACCACTGGGTAAGGATGAAAGAGGCAGCCTCTAGTCATCCTTCTCCCTCCCAAGCTGCATGGCAGGCTTCTGCTCTCTCTAAAAAAAAGTTGGAACTGAGTAACGCAAAACCCCAGACAAGGCACCAGAACTGAGCTAGAGAATATCATGCATGTCTTAAAAGCAGAAGGATGGGGGTTGCAGCATTGAATCGTGTGTGCACAAAAGCCTTCCTCAAAATAGCCTCGGCCAGACGAAGGTCCGCAGAAGATACTGGAAGCTATTCCAGATTCATTTGAGCTAAAAACATATTTTTTAAAAGGACTCAATTTTGCATAAGTAAAAACCCGCTCTTTCTATTAAAGGATATATCAGCCGAACAGCTCAACCATCTTAATTCATTTTTATTTCCCAACCATGTGACCTTTTGATCTTGGTAAGTAGGATAAAGAGACTTTAATCAGCTGCTACGAGGAATTATGAACGGCTAATTGTGTCTGTCATCCCAATTCTATCTTTGCAGCCTAAGGTGTTCCGAGCCTTTCCAAATGTCCTTTTTGGCCCTCATCATCCTGAGCAGCCCACAATGGAATGCGGGCAGGACTGGCTTGAGCGATTTACGAATTAGCCTTCGGGCTGTGAAAGGAATACGCAGCCAGTGAGAAAACCCCATGACAGGCTGGCGCACTTTGATAAAATTTTGTCCCGGCTTTCAAAGGCTCTAATCTTTTCATTAGCGGCACAATGAGAAAGTCCTTCAGCCCCATGTGGCAAACATGGGAAGCGAAATGGTAAAATGTCCAGCTCTTCCTCTGATGCCAATGCCCCAGAGAAAGCTGGACAAGTATGCAAGAAAAGAGGAAATGAAGACTTCCATTCAATTGCTAGCGCCTAGTAGAGTAGACTCACTGAATCAATATGATTTACATAATTGTCAACTCACCATCCAACAACGGATTCAATCGATCCAGCAAGCACTAGCAGAGCTCAGAGTGTTACATTTTAAAAGGAACTTATTAATTTTCACATTCCAGGTTACCTATATCATCATGACAGCTCCAAATGGCCAAGAAATTTAGGATTAACTCCTTCATCTTATCAGCAAGCCCACCGAAATATAGGGAAATACTCTCTGGCTCCCCCTAGGGGCAAATTCTGATACTGCCTCTTGGATGTGTGTTTAAAGAGAAATTCAAAACCTTTTCCTAGGAATGTCATGAAGCCAGAACATTTTCTGTCAAAATGTATTTTAAAATGCCTTTAAATTCGGGACGTGGTGGCGCTGTGGGCTAAACCGCAGAAGCCTCTGTGCTGCAAGGTCAGAAGACCAGCAGTCATAAGATCGAATCCACGCAACGGAGTGAGCTCCCATTGCTTTGTCCCAGCTCCTTGCCAACCTAGCAGTTCGAAAGCATGCAAATGCAAGTAGATAAATAGGGACCACCTTGGTGGGAAGGTAAAATGGCATTCCCTAGACACGCTGGCCACATGACAATGGAAACTGTATTCAGACAAGCGCTGGCGCTATGGCTTGAAAACGGGATGAGCACTGCCCCCCAGAGTCAGACACGACTGAACTAAAAATGTCAAGGGCAACCTTTACCTTTTAAAATTCCCTTTAGAACCCAATTTCAAAAGTAGTGAAATGCCTCTTCTTGCATAGCAGTAACACAAGAGTTACTCAATACTGGAATTTTTTTTCCAGATGGAGGGCTTTCCATTACCCCCTTCAGCATTCTGATTTTCCCATTTCTGCATAATTCCCCCCTCTACAAGGCCCCTCCAAACCGTATACAGTAAATCCCATGTGTGGCCAGCACTACAGATTTGTATAAGGACAGGATGATCTTGGCAATTTCATTATTACTTTTTGAAATCCCTTTTCTAATTAGGCCTAACAAGACTGCTTCCCATGTGTACACACACACACTCTCGTAAGCCAAGAATTCCTGGGAATGAAGCCACGGTATGTTCCAAAAATGTCTTTTAAAAAAAGCCAGAAGGGCAAGGTTCCAGAAATGGAAGCATTGGTTAAAACTGAAAATAGAAGGCATTAGACAAAATGATGTGATTTCTCTATGTACTTTTGAAACAGAGGGTATCCATTGCACACTCTTACTTCAGGTACAGAACACACCTCCTTAATTCTTATGTTCTGGTTTGCCTGTTGCGGTGCTTGTCCTTTTTAATTTAAATATCGGAGTTCGGAAATGACCAAAGTATTTTCACCAAAATGTACTTATATTGCCCACTGTGGATTACACAAGATATATATTTTTTTTGCATGTGATGATAGCTTGGTGAGGTGTTCATAAACCTGCGGTATTTCACCAGTAGATAAATATCTGCTTTCTTTCCTTTTTTTGCCAAAGGAGACCGGGTACTGTATTTTAAGAGGTGTCACCTCTCAGGAGACATGAGAGAAAATGCAGTTAGTAAAGAGAACGTGAACAATTCTAAAGCGAGAATCATTGTAATAATTAAGCAATAAAATCTATTCTACAAGTAAAACTACAAGTAGAAATAATCTTCTTTCCAAATAGAAGAAGATCTGTTAGTAGACCCAGAACACCTGAAAAATATCTCTCTTCTTTCCTAGGCCAACAGCAAAAGGCAGATGGAGATAAAGGTTATGGAGGCAGCTGGTGACTCCAATTTCGCAGGAGCAGTGAATCCAAGCCAGGTTTTACTTGAAAATTTAAGAGAGCTGTCCATGGTGCTCAACCTATTTTGTGGACAGAGTTTCGTACTCTGGATAGCTCCTACAAAGGTTCAGACAAAAACCTGGAGTGGAGTTAGATTTGCCCCACTAATCAAATTCACCATTTTCCCCACCCTCTCCTTACTCCATAGAGTTACTCAATACTGGAAGGTGGCAACTAAATCTTCCTTTACCACTGGTGAAAAGGCTGTTTCCTCTACTGCTCTGGAAGG